CGGATACACATGCAACTTTTCTAAGTAAAAATATTATTTTGTAGAATGTGGAAACATGAAGTTTCCTAAGAAATCATATATATTTTGTGTAAAAAAAAAATAAGTTATTGTTCATATTCTTTCATTCGTAAGAAAATCTTATTATACACTGCTAAACATTCTTTCTATTAGTAAATGATGACGTATTGTGGAAAGAATAGCACGGATTAGCTAGAACATATTTCCTAAGTAACTGGTTAGACTTTATATTCATCGTGCAGTATTTCATACTGAAAACTATAACAATCTGTAGAAAGATTTTTTTGATTACGTGTCCCAAAGCAATCAAATGGAGTAATAGCTATTTTAAAATATTTATTTTCAACAACTTACTCAAGAACATCGAAGGGCATTAATCCTCTAAATTTTCAACAAAAGTTTAACCCAATAATAAATGTAAGTTTTCTCATCACAACAACTCTATTTCTAAGATTGCAATTTCTGTTTCTGTTTGAAGAGATATAGTTTTTACGAGTGTGAAGAAAAAAAAAAAAGAATCCCTGTATAACTGTTTCCTCCTACTAACAAGTCAATTACAAGGTGAAGACAACCACATGACTAATAATTGTGTTTGCAACCCTCTTACTGGCATTTCGTTTTGTAGAGCCCTCTAGTGGCTCAGCGATAAGTCTGAAGACATAATGCTAAAAACCTGGTTTCGATACTAGTGGTAGGCACAGCAAAGATAGCCCATTGTGCATCTTTGGGCTTAACTACAAACAAACAAAACAAAACAAAAACAGTATTTTCGTGGGAGAAATGTTTTTTCCTTATCTTCGTATAACATTTGGTGATTAAGATCCGATCCCCAGAAAAGCTTTTAGTCTGTATAAGTAAATGACCATTCCAGCATCTAATTTATGAAGTAATTCTTTAACAGTTCATTCCAGGCAAACCTTTGAACATCTACTATCTAGTAATGAAATGTATTGTTTTTAAATGTGCAAACAATCGATCAATAAATAAAAACGGGAATAATGACTACAGTAGTTTGTTATGTTTTGTGAAATATAATACAAATGTTTTGAAGTTGCTTATCTAATCAGAATTTGCACTTGTTTACGTTTCCAAATTTTAAGAGATTTTTCGTGATTGAAGCTTTTAGCCGACGCATTGATGCAGTTGGTAACTGAGACTACCAAGCTAACCCTAACATAAAGGTCAACTTGCCGACTACTAATAAAGTTGAATCAAAGTAATAAATGTTTTGATTACGTAATTGTCTAGTATTGTTCAATACTTTATAGACATTAGATTTTGTTTATTTTCGTTTATTCTTACAAAGTTACCGAAGCCGCTCCTAACTTGAACTGATAGACTAGAGGAAGGGAGCTATTCAATAGCACCCATCGCCAATCTTTGGGTTATTCTTGTCCCCCCGATACATGGGATTTGATAGTTACCATTACAATGCACCCAAGGCCCCAAATTATGAAGCGCGACACAGAAATTGAACCTGTAATATATATTTATATATATTTATAAACAAAACAATATAAAAATGATTAAAGCATTGAAAAAAAAACGTTTTATTTATTACTGTTAATTTAAAATAATTAAATAAAATCACATATAAATTGTTAAGTAGGTCTTGTTCGAGAAAGATTTATTGTGGAACTTGGATGATACAAAATCGCTAATAAATAAAAAGTTTTTAAAATATTTTTGAAGTCGTTTCCATATTGTTTAATTTTTATTAATCACTTCCTTCAACAAAATATATTTGTTTCCTTGCTTGAAAACAACAAAAATAAAACAAGGATTATAAGACAAGAAAGTAATGAACATATATATTCGATAAAATATAATTATTTTACAACAATTTTAACTTTTTAAGAGAAAGAAAGAAAAGTAAAAGCTGAAACCTAATGAGTTTCGAGCACACGATTCTTCCTGTCTATCGGGCTGATGCTTTAAGAAAATAATTATGAAATTTGTCGTATAGCGCAAGTCATAGTTCTCAGTTTCTCACTGTGTTAACCAATTAGAAGTTTCGCCTGAGAAAGACCTCCTCTGATTTCAAATCCACTTCTTAAGTAAAGGGAAATTCAAATATTACATAATGATGTGCGCTCTCACAATTATATAATTTAAAAGTCAAAGGCATACGCTAGCGCCATCTTTCGATAATATAAAATAACGAACCAAAATTAACATAAACTATCAAAATATGTAAACTTTATAAATATACATCCTCATATGTTCATGTCTTCCGCGAATAGCAAGTTTTATACAATTATTTTCTCTAGTTTTGATTAGTGAACTGAAAGTACTTGTGTCTAATATAGCAAATTGTAGTTTTATGTTGGAGGTGCTGAAAAACCATTGATCTATATTGTAACTCCTGTATATAATGGAAACTACGCTTTCAGTTGCTGTTACCTTAAAACATGTTAATAAAACGAAGCCAACATCAACACTTGTTTATATATTTAAGTGAAAAAAAAGTGGCTTGATTACAGTCCTTGTTAGAATGTTTATAATAGGCTTACCCTAAAACGTTGAAAGCAGCCAAACCGAAAAGTAAATCAGGTTATCCGACACTACTATTCGTAACTTAAATACTAGGAACAAATGTTTTCTTGAAGTGGTTGACGTCATATAAATGTCATGCAACGGGCACTACAAGACTAGCAAAAAGTTTATACCATAACAAAATTGCACTTATGTAGCTTTGCGTAAGTTATCGACAAACATATAATGAAAAACATAAACAATACAAATCAACACTCTTGTGTGTGTGTGTGTGTCTGTGTTTTGCTATAATAAGGCCACATCAGGCTATCTGCTCTGCCCACTGATGGGAATCGAACCCCTAATTTTAGCGTTGTAAATCCGAAGACTTACCTCTGTTCCACCGAGGGACCGCCACTCTTGTAACATCTCTGGCAGCAAGCACCCTTACTACCGCACCCCTGCTACTCTTTCTTTCCGTGCTCTCTCTTGACGGAATGATGCTGGCGCCATCTTTGTGTAGCAGCCATGACTTTCATACCTGTTAGCATTTCTTTAATATTCAAAATATGCGCAATTTTTTCAGATTTTAATTATTTGTAGCAGTTCAGTCTTGACCACTTTAAACCCGTACCTTGAGATTGCACCATTATGTAGAAGACACCAACCTTGCTTTATCTCTGTGTTCTTCTAACGTTATTGTTTGACTGGAAATTAGTGTAAGAAGGCCTTGGCATGTTGCTGGCAAAACTTTCATATGAGTGGTTATCTTGTAATCCTATATATAATTGGTTAAAGTTATAAAAGCATTGACTGATCGTATATGCGTTTGAATCGTTGGGACAGTCTTGTCCTGGTCGTCATAAAATTCAGTTTTCATAGGAAACGTTTGTTTGTTTTCATCTTCGTGCAGTAATGGGCACGGGTTTTCCCTGTGGCGTAGTTCTGGATTTCGGAGCTGGAAAGCAAGATTTGAGTCTATGTAATACCACAAAATATTACCACACTTTAAGCTGTAGGTATGTTATAAGAGTGATAATCAATCCCTTAGCGTCGATGGTGGATGTTAAAGTCCTGCTGACTGGTTGCCTTCCATCTGGTCAGCAGTTCGAATTTATGAACGTTGGCAGGGAGCCAAAAATACAGTTACTAAGATACGAAGCTCGTGTAGTAAAATCCAGTTTATCTAATGCTAGTTGTGTGGCGTAGTTCTG